ATTTTGAAGGTTACTAGTCTTTCCTTAGTTGTAATGTGAACTGTTTCAAAAATAAAAATATACATGTATAAGGAATTGAAAACACATATTTTCACAGGTCGTACTATTCATTTCATGACTCATACTGATAAATTCCATATCCGAAGTAAAAAAAAAAAAAAGGCTATGGCGTATATCTGACGGATACGGCGTGTGCCCTGTGGATATAGCATTGAGTGCCCAGCGGATATAGCGTTTAGTGTCCAGAGGATATGGCGTTTTGTGCCGAGCGGATATGGCGCCTGTCCGGCGGATATGACGTGTGTCCGGTGGATATGGCGTATGCCCGGCGGATATGGCGCGTGCCCGGCGGATATGGCGCGTGCCCGGGGATATGCCGCCTGTCCGGCGGATATGGCGTGTGCCCAGCGGATATGTTGTGTGCCCAGCGGATATGGTGTGTGTCCAGCGGATATGGCGTGTGCTAGGTGGATATGGCGTGTGCCCAGCGGATATGGTGTGTGCCCAGCGGATATGGTGTGTGCCCAGCAGATATGGCGTATATCTGGCGGATAATGAGCGTGCCGGACGTATATTGGGTGGCCTGGGTTATGGCATATGCACAGAACAAACAGAAATAACCAATATCACAATCCATTTCTAGCATGTTTTGTGATCTATTCTGTTGTATGTTATTACGCGTCATTTATTAGTCTTCGATATTAAGTGACGTATATCTATTACGTGGTTTCCAGGCGATGTTGTAAAACTAGACAAATGTCTAAACATATTATCCTGTCTAAATAAAATAATTTATTATTTTTATTATCATAATCTATGTTATCCTCCATGATATTACTGATAAACGTAAACAGGAAAAAACGATAAAGTGAGGATTACATCTGGATCATTAAATAACTAACTAGAAGTCCAAAGGCTAACTAATACCCGCTCCTATCTTAATCAGAAATGTAAGCCAAAAGCTAACTAATACCCCCGCTCCTATCTAAATCAGAACTGTAAGCCAAAGGCTAACTAATACCCCCGCTCCAATATAAACAAGAACTGTAAACCAAAGGCTTACAAATATCCCCGCTCCAATATAAACCAGAACTGTAAGCCAGAGGCTTACTAAAAAAAAAACACCCTATATAAACCAGAACTGTAAACTAAAGGCTAACTAATACCCCCGCTCCAATATAAACCAAAACTGTAAGCCAAAGGCTTACTAATACCCCCCACTCTTATATAAACTAGAACTGTAAGCCAAAGGCTAACTAATACCCCCGCTCCTATATAAACCAGAACTGTAAGCCAACGGCTTTCTAATACCCCCGCTCCTATATAAACCAGAACCGTAAGCCAAAGGCTTGCTAATACCCCCGCTCTTATATAAACCAGAACCGTAAGCCAAAGGCTAACTAATACACCCGCTCCTATATAAACCAGAACTGTAAGCCAAAGGCTTGCTAATACCCCCGCTCTTATATAAACCAGAACCGTAAGCCAAAGGCTAACTAATACACCCGCTCCTATATAAACCAGAACTGTAAGCCAACGGCTTTCTAATACCCCCGCTCCTATATAAACCAGAACCGTAAGCCAAAGGCTAACTAATACACCCGCTCCTATATAAACCAGAACTGTAAGCCAAAGGCTAACTAATACCCCCGCTCCAATATAAACCAAAACTGTAAGCCAAAGGCTTACTAATCCCCCCCACTCTTATATAAACTAGAACTGTAAGCCAAAGGCTAACTAATACCCCCGCTCCTATATAAACCAGAACTGTAAGCCAAAGGCTTGCTAATCCCCCCGCTCTTATATAAACCAGAACCGTAAGCCAAAGGCTAACTAATACCCCCGCTCCTATATAAACCAGAACTGTAAGCCAAAGGCTAACTAATACCCCCGCTCCTATATAAACCAGAACTGTAAGCCAACGGCTTTCTAATCCCCCCGCTCCTATATAAACCAGAACTGTAAGCCAAAGGCTTACTAATACCCCCGCTCCAATATAAACCAGAACTGTAAACCAAAGGCTTACTAATACCCCTGCTCCTATATAAACCAGAACTGTAAGCCAACGGCTTTCTAATACCCCCGCTCCTATATAAACCAGAACTGTAAGCCAAAGGCTTGCTAATACCCCCGCTCTTATATAAACCAGAACCGTAAGCCAAAGGCTAACTAATACCCCCGCTCCAATATAAACCAGAACTGTAAGCCAAAGGCTTGCTAATACCCCCGCTCCAATATAAACCAGAACTGTTAACCAAAGGCTTGCTAATACCCCCGCTCCTATATAAACCAGAACTGTAAGCCAAAGGCCTAATAAGGTAAAGCATTGCAAAGCAATCCATAGACTCCCGCCAGTACTGACTTCGTTATTGGCTGAGCTGTACACTTATGTAAGTATATAGGTCACTGACATATTTCCTGTACTTCTTCCCAATGCCAATATATGCTTGCAAATCAAATCTTGTTAGCCCAGATGAACGAGTTTTGCTGAAATCGTCCAAGTAGTTAAGGAAGAGATGTCAGGACAAAGATTTTTAACAAATGAACAGTATCTCATTAAAAAGGGTTGAAATGAAAACTTTACCCTGATGCACGACATCAGGAGGTAATTACCACATCTTTAAACTTTCATTGAAATCGGCCCTGTAGTTTTGAGATAGACCAAGTTAATTTTCAACAAAGGGTCATTACTCCTTTTAAAAGGGTCGAAATGAAAAAGGACTACTTGGATGCACAACGTCAGAAGGCAGTTACCATATCTGTAAACTTTCTTTGAAATTGACCCAGTAGATTAGGAGAAGCTGTCAGGAGAGGGATTTTTCAAAAAATGGCAATAACTCGTATAAAAAAGTTTGGGACAAAATACGTTGATGCACAACATCAGCAGGTAGTTATCATATCTGAAAACCTTCCTTGAAATTGGCCATGTAGTTTTGGAAAAGTTGTGCGGGCAAGCATTTTTTAACAAAGGGCAATAACTCCGTCAAAAGGGTCAGAATGATAAAAATAATACCTGTATGCACAATATCAGGTGGTAGTTATCATATCTGAAAACTTTCGTTGAAATTGGCCCGGTAGTTTTGGAGGAGTTGTCCGAACAAGGATTTTTCAACAAAAGGCCATAACTTTATATAAAAAAAGGGTCAGAATGAAAAACAATACCTGGAAACACAACTTCAGGTGGTAGAAATTGATCCATAACTTTAGAAGAAGTTGTCCGGACAAACTTTTTTACGGACAGACAGACGGACGGACGGACAAGCCAATTCCAGTATCCCCCCCCCCCCCCCCCCCCCCAACTTAATCACTTGTATGCCGATATGTGTACGGAACCGAGGCTGTAAAAAACATACATTTACCGTAGATGTACGGGACAGGGACAATGAAATGAGCGACACTTTGGACGCGGTGTTTCTGTTATCCAGGTAGCCAGGATTTAAAGGCTTTATCGTAAAGCTCTTTCCCTCTCACTAAACCAGCCATATATAACGTATTACGTTCGCTACACCTCACATGAAAATCTCATTTGAATCCTGGCCGTGCTCGGCACATAAATGCCTATAACTTTGTGGGGTAAACACCAAAATATCGACTTACAGATTTATTATATACTTAATGTCAATGGAACTGCTCCAGAACACATATATGGTAAATTGACCTGTCTTGCCATGCGTACGACATATCTTATAAACATTTCCTTGTGAGATATTTTCTTTTTCGTCGTCAATCTTGAGTACATGCAAATGTCTGTTGATGGTATATGTGTTAGAGCTACATCTATGTGTGTCGTGAGATCCAGATGTAGAAAGTTAAATCAGCAAGTTACAATTGAAAAAGAAATCTCAATAAAATGTCAGGAAATTAATTGCTGCGTTCCACATACATATTGCAGTGAATTATAATGAAGCGCTCTACATTCGTGAACATTGTAACAGCTGATATTTATAGAATTTGATTGGTGTAAGTGTCCATCAACTCAATAACATCCTATATATAGGGTCATACAGTCAGAGCCAGATGAAACATGGAGTTGAAGGAAGTAACACGAAGAAGACATCAAGCGACTGACGATTATTGATTATGAGCGATTTTTTCTCACGTGTAATCTACATGTTAATTGTCTTATACTTTGGAATATACTCACAAGATAAGATATATCTATCTTATCCGTTACTTTGACTTCTAAGAATCGAAATAAATTCGATGTAAGACTGGACGTTTCAAGATATATTTGATATCTATGTAGATGCGACAGAATTTCAGCAAACGTATCTGAGTCATGCTAAAGTCGAACACACAGGGACCTGATAATTTGTTACAGATTTATTCGGATCTAAAGCGATGTTCATAGTGATTTTACACGTTCTAGGGGTTAAGATCAATTTTTGGTTAAAATGCCATCCCCACCCCCCAATGATGATATATACGAGTAAAGATATCAGTTTATGTCAAAATATAACTGTTACAAATTATCAAGTCCCTGTGGAACAGAACACAAGTTCAACCTTGTAGATAAACGTCTGGAAAGTTCAACAAACGACGCACCGACTTGGAAAGTCCAGTCCGTAGACAGTTTATGGACGAAGATCAGTAATGATGAGAAAGAAATCTGTCTCCTGCACCTAAATTAGAGATCAAATTGACCAGAGATTCGGTTATAAAAGGTGTGTTTGGACATATCCTGAAGGGACTGTAGTATTAGACGTTTTCGGGCTTTATCCGAATACCGGACAAATGTAATGTCCCCGAGAGACTCCCGCGTCCCTGTGATCAGGATGTGCCGCCAATCTCTGCATCAATGTTTAATAAAGTCTATAATTGTTTTCAATACCACAAGCTAAAGTTAAAGTAATACCGCTTTTTTTTCTCATAAGAAAATGTTCGTTTTTTACATATCTATCATATATCACGGGACACAACTGACTACGTTTCCAAACGAGAACCAACAAGTTAAACATTTAAAGGTAAATAAAGTCTAATGATGATAAAATTCAACCTACCTTAACTCTGTAATACATATCCAGTATTTCGCCGGGAACAAGAAATTAATCTCATGGTGAAATTAATCCACTTCTCTTATATCTAGTATCCTCAGGTTCCTGAGCATGTAGCTACGTTGGGGAGGAGAAAGTGTGTGCTCGGCGTCTTTGTTGACAGTTACCAAGCGTGGGTCGTACGGCAGTAGTCGGAGGTGCCACTACCAACACACCTGTATATATATATATACAACGGTGTATAATAGACGATACTAATTCGATTTTCACATTCGCACATAGGTATTTACACAAGATTATACACAGAAAATAATTCCAAAGGTCAGTATTGTATCGCCTCTTTGATTGAATAATCAAGAAATGACCTGGTATTTGATCACATAAACTAGCAGTATATACTTTTTAACACCGAGTCGATCAATTCGGTTGTGTGGAATGGAATTAAGCCGTGTAAATACGTGTAAACAGCGTTAAAGTATGGACAGGAAATTAAAATATCGAAGGCACTCTCGTGTTAAATTTGTACTTTAAAGTAATCAACCCACTAATATACTATACAGCTATACAATACTTAACAAACCTTATAGAACCTCTCCCGTCAAAAATAATTAACGTGCTATGCCGAACGTTTTATCCACGAGCACCGCTCAGTCTTGGTTCCGGATCTGTATGCAAAAGTCTTGGATAATCGTCCGTTTCCTTCATCAAAGACCACGGTATAGAAATGTCAATAATCTTATGAATCAATTCCTTCTATACACCATAGAAAATGGGTTTAATCGAACTGTAAAGAATTTAACCGTCGAAAACTTACAGGTCGAAAAACTGCTTCAAACCACAGAAATGCACATATCCCATAGGAACACGTGTACAACGCCATAGTTGTAAAAACGGTCAAATTGTTATTTAAACAATCTGATTAATCGTTATTTATTCTATTTATAGAGATGTTTAGTTGGCTTGGCCCCGGGGTAAATTGAGCTAGTCTATATCCTGGTCTGAATAGCCAATATCAGTACCACACCCCATACTATACAGAAGCGAATGACCCAGTCACGGTGACAATTCTCGGGGTAGGATGTCAATTTCTAACAGGTTCATTCAAAGTTGTCAATTTCCAATGTCTATTTCTTAATTGATTGTGTATAGTGTATCGTGTAACCGATTATAGGAGTACATAAGTGGACTCGTATTAAACTGTTGACATAAAGGCTGCCTACTTTTCCCCATTGATCGAAAGATCTATTCTCTCTGTAACCTGTGACGGTTAAAGCCCCAGCGCTACGCCAGGTAGATGATGATCAGCCAGGTAGGCCGACAGGTGTATAACGGGTAACAGATAAAGGCGACAGGACATTTGAAAGCTCGTTGACTTTGACTTCAATACATAATCGATATCGTATGATAATTTCTAATATACAACCTCATTTACATATGGTATTTTAGTAGTGAACGCTATTTTCCTGTAATAATGTATTATTGAGTAGGTCTCGTGTTTAGATGCTATAGAACTACAGGGCTGGTTGACGCAGTGTAAACCAAGTGCTATGTAAAGCCGACGGATATATTAACAGTTACATGGACTAGAATGCGTATTGGATAATTTTGAATTATGCTGTAACAATGTTAGATCTCGAAAAAATGTTAATACATGGTAAATTGAATTTGCCCATACAAATATCAAACAATTATCGACTGCTTAGCCCCGAGATGATTACAAAACTCATTGTTTTTCTGTAAATAATTTGCCATTTGATTTCACAGGCGCCTGGTCATGGCCGTCTTTGACATATTTTAAAACTTCACAAAATTCGATCTTATTAGTTTAATGCCTAATGCCATTCGCTTCATTTGCAATCTCTTTTATATCCAACATATATAAACTTTATTTATTTTACAACAATTATGAAATAAGTTTTTACAACTAATACTAATCACTCTGGTTGACCCGGATGTTAGCGACTGAGGGGGAGGGGGGGGGGGGGGGTCTTACTGTGGGAGGAAACCCCATAACTTTTCACGTCCGATTGGGGAATCCAACCCCGGCTGCCTTGGTGAAAAGCAGGTGCGCTTTCTACTGCGCCACCCGACATATCCAGCATATTCCAATGTCTCCCTTTCTTCTCGTCACAGTTCCTTACACTTACAACTCTCCCTCGATATATCGACAACCCCTTTATATTGCCTACAATTAAGCTAAATGAATGATGGCCCTATAAGGAAACTAGCTTTGTGGCCAAGTTAATTCTACACATGAAGGGCGATAACTCAGTAATTAATGTGCTCAAGTTACAAATAGTACTTTTAAACCCTACAGAGTTTTAATGAAATTACGTGGAAAAAAGAGGCGCTTGTTCAACAGACAAGATTGAAGTTCAAAATACACAAAAGGCAATAACTCGGTCAATTAATTGATACGGATAAAAACATCATTATTTTATCAAAATTTAAAATTCGGAAAGCCATTACTGGTGCATAACGATTTGACAGGTTTTAAACCAGCACAAGTGACTTACCCTGAGATTCCTCTGGCCCCGACACCAGGCTTGGACATTTTGTCTAACATGTGCCTGGTGTAGCCCGAGTTTTCCTCTGGCCCCCGACACCAGACTTGGACATTTTGACAGACAGCTATCTGGGATAATCTGGGTTTTCCACTGGCCCTAACACCAGGCTTGGACATTTTGACAGACAGATGTCTGGTGAAGCCCGAGTTTCCTCTGGCCCCGACATCAGGCTTTGACATTTTCACAGACAGATGTCTGGTGTAGCCCGAGTTTTCTCTGGTCCCCGACACCAGGCTTGGACATTTTGACTGACATGTGCCTGGTGTAGCCCCAGTTTTCCTCTGGTCCCCGACACCTGGCTTGGACATTTTGACAGACAGCTCTCTGGTGTAGCCCGAGATTCATCTGGCCCCGACACCAGGCTTGGACATTTTGACTGACATATGTATGGTGTAGCCCCAGTTTTCCACTGGCCCCGACAACAGACTTTGACATTTTGACAGACAGCTATCTGGGATAATCTGGGTTTTCCACTGGCCCTAACACCAGGCTTGGACATTTTGACAGACAGATGTCTGGTGAAGCCCGAGTTTCCTCTGGCCCCGACACCAGGCTTGGACATTTTGACAGATGTCTGGTGTAGCCAGAATTTCCTCTGGCCCCGACACCAGGCTTGGACATGATGACTGACATGTGCCTGGTGTAGCCAGAGTTTCCTCTGGTCCCCGAAACCAGGCTTGGACATTTTGACAACCATGTGCCTGGTGTAGCCAGAGTTTCCTCTGGCCCAGACACCAGACTTGGACATTTTGACTGACATGTGCCTGGTGTAGCCCCAGTTTTCCTCTGGCCACGACACCAGACTTGGATATTTTGACAGACAGATGTCTGGTGTCAAGGCCTGGAGGAGGCTCGGGCTACACATGACTTTAATTCCATCCACACTCAATATCTGATATACAATTGTATGCCGTGTTTTATTGCTAAACTGTAAATTATATCGGGTTTCCCGTAACAACGCCGAAATAAAGTATACAAAAAATGTCATTATTATGCGGTAGTGAACTATTGTTTTTTCAGCAAACTTTGTTCTCCGGTAGCAGACCACACCTTCATTGCACGTGAAAGAATTATCCCCTCACAAAAAGAGAGGGGGGGGGATCTTGAAAGACACAACACCTCAGTGCAGGATGGCATGCGCCTTAGTTGTAGGTTTTTCAATAGTTTTCCCTACTGGGCCCCACAACTTTCATTCACACAAATTGGACGTCGGGATGTTCAACGCAAAATGATATCAAAATCTGTTCCGTCTCTCGGGTCCAGTAGTCTTTCAATCGAAAAGTGACAGTCAGTTGTTTGGTAGAAGGGAGATAACTCTTACAATCGTAGTTGCCGAGGTGGGATGTCATTCCAAAATAGTAACAAGATAATCTTGTGGGTGTCAAGCTACCAGTTTGTTTCTGACGTTAAAAGACAGGTTTTTGTTCAAATGATTCCCAGAGACCTTGACATTAAAGACCCAATAGATCCTATAGCCAACCCAATGTGTTAAAGCTCCGAAAACAATGACTGCAAATCCCAATTTGATTAAAACCTAATCTCATCAGAGGAATCAATATTGAAAACTTCCCCATTTAAAATGATACAGGTTTTCCATTCCATTCCTCTACGTTCCCGTCGAAGTTGATTGGAACGTGAAGTATCAGAGTGGAATTTAAAATCTGGTTTTAATCAGATTGCAATTAAAATATGTTACTATATCAATTTTTTTTTGTGTAATTTGGCACTACACACGCTGTTTATTATCGATTATATTTTGTACATTTTCCTTTTAGGGGCAACATAATATTTTGATTTAAAGTTATTATTAAATATAGGGGGAAAATTGTCCTTAAAAATTTGTTTAATGATGAACAAAAGCATTGCAAAAGAGTCTTTTTACCTTGCTTTGGACAAATGGATTTCCATTTAAATACTTTACTAGTTTATCTTTTGTGCACATATATCAAAGTTACCTCCCTTTACACTGTTAACTCCTTTTTAAAATACCAGGAACAGTTGAATTTGGTTTGCACCTCTTTTTATAACAAATGCTATTGCAACAACCAGGCATTACTAAACCAATGCATATTAATGTCAAATGGTCCATGTAGTGACAGAGATCACAAAAATAGTATTATTTTAAACATCATGTTAAACGGTTAGCATCAGTTTGTACAACATTCCTGTCTACGTGTGCATCAGGTTTCATCACTCCATAAACTTGTATAGGCCAGTAGAAGTTATTCTCCTATTTTTTACTACCAACATTTTAAAAATGCTGGGAACTTGTTAAAACCATATCACAACCAAATTTCTATTACCAAGATTAAATATGAGATTTGAGATCTTTAGAGTTCAATGGCAATAGACATAAAATATTTTAACTGCCAATGGGGTTTTTTCTTGGGCAAAATAAAAAATTCTTTTATTTCCGCTACCCCTACCTACCCTAGTTTTTTGTATCTATCCTAAAGTTTTTATTGGCATTAAGTGATATGAACTGTTAAAGTCAGAACTCCTGCTATATATAAGCACAGTAAAAATATTTTCCAAATTAAAAAAATAAAATGCTGAGCTACCTTCCTTCCCTACCAAAAGACGATAGCGGAAACTCAAGTATTTTTTTTGCCTCATCTCAAACATGCTCAAAAACTTAGTCATTAGGAAAACAGTATTTTTTGGTCATGTAACCCAATACACATTTCTTTCCTTTGGCCTATACTAATAAAACACGAGACAGAACACAAATCCTCTTTGTTTATCATCACTGTATTTATACAACGTTTGCAGGTTGTGTTATGGGCATTCCAGCACAGCACTGAAAAATGTAACACTACCCAAAAATGTGTTTTGTGTGACGTGAAATCTGACCAGTTGATAAACTAATGGATGACATGGAAATGACACAGTACTATGAAGTATTACAAAATGTACAAACAGCATGGTATTTCATTATCACGTATTTATAGTGTCTATAGGGCTTGGTTATGGTTAGGGCACCGATAATGAAAAATATCTTAATCTACAGAAAAGGGAGAAAATTAATTTAATTTAGGAATCATACAATTATACAGCCATCTTTGAATGGAAAACACCATGGAAATTGTTTCCAACTTAAAAATCTACAATAGCACATTCCTCTTTTCAACCCTACATGAGTAGGCAAAAGATGTCTCCGACACATGATACACACGGCTGGCTTTGAAGTTTCACTGTCCACCACACCGATTTCTTCCCCTAGTAAAATCATTAGATGAATCTAGTTCTTACTCAAAGGCTGAGATGATAAAATTCATTGTATAAAGAAAGACATTGGAACTTTTAACGTTTTAAACTTGTACAAGACAGCAACAAAAACATTTGTCTCACCATGCAAAACTGTCTTTATACCTGATAATGTCACAACTTAACAACCTCTCATTCACTGAAAATCATTCATTCCTAATCTCTTGCCCACAAGCATACGTATAAATCACACATTACATCTAGTAATCACACCAACACACACAACGTTTTCCTAGTCATATAAAATAAAATATATTAAAACATATTTTTTCTGACACAAGAAAAAATCTGTAGATAATTTGTTCTGGAAAAAAAGGACAATTACATTGGTGAGAAACAATCAGATTGACACATAACGTATAGTCTCTTTGTTATACGTCACTGATAACGTTATTCCTGTAGTAAAATGTGGTCACAAAACCTAACAATAGTGTGTGCTACAACGTCTCCACATATCGTGATAACTGGTCTTGCGGAGTGACCTCAGTGTCTTGTGGTAGACTAAGTCCCCCGTCAGGGGGCTGGTTCTGCAGTGACATACCACCACTCAAAAGTAAACTAGGGTCTGTGTTCATTTGATTGGGGTCACCTCCCATGGCACCCGGATGAGGTGAACTAGACACAACATGATGTGGCGACATTTGTGGTTGTCGTGGCGAGGGGTTCAGCTGCTGCCGGGGAGATAATGTGGGCTGGGGAGAACGAACAGTCTGTGGTAACGATGCCGATGTGGGCGATCGTACTTGCTGCATAAGTTGTTGGTTAGTAACTGCCTGTTGGGCAGACATCTGAGCATTAACCTGCACAGGCTTGCCCCCTGCAGACAGCTGGTGCCTCAGCTGCGCCTGCTGCTGCTGCACTTGTTGCATCATTTGTTGCTGTTGAAACTGTTGCGACATGTGCTGGCCGTTCCCTTCTGTCTGGTAGGCCGGCTGCCCTGTGTAGGGAATACGTGGTCGTTGTACTTGAGTATACTGAGGCTGTTGTTGCTGGAACTGCGGCAGATTGAGAGGCTGATGCTGTTGCTGCTGCGAATGCTGTTGTTGCTGTTGCTGTTGTTGCTGTTGCTGTTGTTGAAGAAGCCGAAGACGCTGTTGTTGCTGTTGCTGTTGTTGTTGCTGCTGCTGTTGCTGTTGTTGATACCACAATTGATGGTTGGTTGCGGGTGGGGGTTGTGGATGAGGCTGCTGGTTTTGAGCCTGCTGTTGATGCTGCTGAGTCCTTTGTTTTAAGAAAGCTGCCATGAGTTGCGGATGAGTTTTTAGAATGTGAAGAACTTGCTGCTGCTGCTGCGGAGACGCGGGAGATTTGAGAGTAGCTAACAACTGTTGAAGCGGTGTGGTTGGAGGCCGCGGTGCATTGGGGCCTGTCTGTGGTGGATTGATGGGAGGAGGCTGCTGTGGCTGAGGATTGGGTCTCGGATATAACGTGTTCTGTGTCATATCCGGGTGCAGACTGGGGTTGGGGTTTTGTGGTTGTTGAGGATATTGTGGCTGTGTCCATGTCTGCATTGACACTTTTTGAGCTGGGATTGACTGACTCATGGTAGAAGGCATCGGAGGTGGCATGGGTGTCGCAGTCGTTGTCATCACAGGTTTTCCCATGCTCATCTCCGCTTGCCTCTGAGCCGCTTCCTTAGCCAGTTGGGCTGCCTCTAGGGCACCCTGTGGGGGGCCCGAAGCTGGCTTGCCCGGGATGGCCTGTTGTAGGATTGGAGTTGTGGAGGGCGAGGGCTGAGACGCCACTTGCGTTACCGTCGTAGTGGTTGTTCCAACCCGCTGCATGGAGGCCATCCTCCTCCTCAGCATCTGGGCTTGCTGCAGCCGATGCTGCAACTGCTGCTGCCTCAGTTTATGTTTAATTTGCAAACAGAATGGCACCTGACACTTGTTCTCTGTACAATGTTTCGCATGATATAGACACAGTGCTATAAGCTGCTTACAGATTGGACACACACCATTGGTCTTTTTCCTACAACCCTTTGTATGAGAAACAACACGCTTCATCTTCAAACAACTTGGTAGTTTGCAATTTGCGTCTTTGCACTGACAAGCATGTACCAGAGATTGTATACAACGCTGAATAGATTGACGTCGAGATTCTGCGGGATTTTCTGGCTTTTCTGAAGGTGATGAACCATCATCCAAGTCCAGACCCAATTTGTCCATCTTGTGAATATGGCCATTCTTTTCATAGCACGTTGAACACATATCATAGTCCTGAAAGTAAGAAATTAAAATGATTAGACAAATTTCAAGTTTTCTATGATTTTCTACACATGGTTAACATTATGATGAACTAAAAGATATTCATGACCCGCTATAGGACCAAAACATTACTTCGATAAATTGTAGAGAATCTAACTACCACAGCTGGTCATGTTTATATGCACTGAAAACTATGGATTCTTAGGCAAAAACAGACAATGGTTCAACCATTTGTGCAAGTAACCTTTGTTGTAAAATAACGAAACCAGAACCCAACTTACTTCACACACCCGGCAGTGCCACCGAGTTTCCACATGAGCTTTGCAGTTATTGCATGTGTACACAAAATTGTCTCTTCCTTGATTATGCAGTTCATATAACAGAGCCATTGTGGAGAGCTTGGCTCTCCTCAGTGAGGAGAATTCCTGGTGCTTGTCACGAGCCATTGTCAAGAAAGCATCCCGACCATCCATAAGATCACAGGAGATGTATGGATCGGGATCCTGTATGGGCGGAAGGGTAAGAGCCACCTGTTGGCTGTGTAGACGGATCACAAAAAACACCTGCAACAAATGAATTTAAATTTAAATTGGATGTCATTGACAATACGAGATTAAAGCTGATTTAATCCATGTTTACTTATCTTAACATAATGATGTTGAGTCGCTGGATCAATAAACAACCTGTCAACAACTGTAGTTTTACTTGTCCTAGAGCACTTCAGTAAGTAAAGCCTAACTAACAATAAAATAAGGACAAGTAAAGCCTAACTAACAATAAAATAAACAATGTCTTCAAGTATTAACATATTTACAATTAACTGTATATAAAATCATCGTCAACTAAAATGATGTACAACAACTTCACAGCAAACTGCTCAACATAACAACTTAACAGGGATCATTTCCAAGATATTTAATGAACATCACAGAGAAAAAATCTGGCTTAGTGTTTTACCAAGTGAAATTGCAAGCAAACAACTCAAATGTAGCATTCCTTCTTTCCAAGAGTCCAGTTTTACCTCAATAGCATTTGTATACAGGCCAGGGAGTAACCTCCTTCTCTGGCATGGTCAGATTAGTGATCCAGTCCTGCTGGACAAGTTAAACATACTACTGCATGAGACTTACGCAGCTCTAAATTTACACTTGACAACTGAATTCTTGGGAGGGGCAATGTTTCTGAACCTACCCATTGACAAGATATCCTGGCAGTATACTATTACTGAGAAAGAACAAGTGGCTGTGATCAGTAGATTAGCGAGACATTCATTAGGAAGTTTCATATATGGTTTTTACTTACCTCTTTGTGTTTCTCCATTGTAGCATACAACTTCTGGGAGAGATTGTTCCCACCGTGTGGCATGTTGGTTTTTTTGTTGTTTTTCCTTTGATTGTTCTTGCTCTTGTTGGCCTTTTTGTTCCTACCTCCTTTGCCTTTCTTCTTTCCTGTGCCATTTTGCTGCAAAACAATTACAAAATATAACTCCCTTTGTTGTCTACTTCTTTTTGTGTACGAGTAAAACATATCAAATGACAAGACATTTATCCCCAAACATTCTCTTTACAACCCTGTTCAGATGTCCTTGATTATCAAACATTTTTCGATACTTTCTTACCCATTCCCTTCCCCTCTTCTACTTTTTAAATTGGCTCTGTCCAAGACCCCCCTCCACGACACAAATCCAGGGAAAATCTGATACCTAGGCTACGATGCTTTTCCATTCTGCAGGTAACTGCTTATATCTGAAAATCTGTGTCAATTGACAACAGATATTGTTTCTTGTTAACATCACTGAAAATATTCAACGAAGTATGCAACATTATAAGATATATAAAGATGTGAATCCCTCACATCTATATATACACTGGAAGTTGGTGTTAAATTTCGACTCACAGAACTACTGTCACATTCTTCGGTGCCCTCGACACACTCCACCTCGGCAGCAGCTGCAGCCTCAGCCTCCTCACGTTTACGTTTTTCTTCCTCCTCCTCCTGGTCCAGTTCTTTGATACTCTCCTCCAACACATTGGGCCAAAAATCACCCTCAAAGTAGGGCATCTCAGTGGCTGATTGCACATTGTTCTCTATGGCATCTTTGTAGATATCCTGTATAAGTAGCAATCAAAATTACTAAAATGAGAGATTTGCTAAATCTGGATTGTTTATCTCCTGAAAAAAGCACAGTGGAATCAAATTTGCCTAGGTTAGTCTCTGTCAATGCTTACAATGAGGGCTATGCCATAATTAATCATATGGGGGAGGTGGGAGGCACCTGTGTTATTATCCTCTGATAAAACCAAATCTGTCTACTTTTCCTGATGTCACTTTGAGTAATGGGGTTACTGGAAAAGTGTCCCTCTTACAGTCATTTGTGGAACAACCCTGATGTATTAATTTGTTCTTCTAACAGATTGGCATGAATAAATCATACTCATTACCATTAATAGCACAATTTTCCATAGGGGAAAAAACCAAAACCAATTACTGTTAAAATTTTCTATTACTTAAAACTTTGGTCTTACGCACAGACATCAAAAAGTTGTATTTCTGGATCAAATGTGGAATTTTAACATCAAAACATTTTTTTTTATCTTTGGGACAAAACCAGGTCATTAAGTGTTTTCACTTTTCGAAGGCTAAAGAAAACAGATGTTGTTATTGCTTTTGACTCTGAAAAAATAAAGCGTGGACAGGTCAGCTAGACATCAATTTCTACCTAAGTATTTGTACAAAGACAGCGTTTCCGACTTCAGCACTTATTTTAAAACTAGTATAGGTAGAGAAAGCAGAAAATTATTACTGATAGTCCTTAGGGATACTGGTTTATCATGACTATCGTCCACTTACCTTGTAATCGATGACACATCGCTCTATGATAGCTTTGTCCAGCATCTTCTTGTACCACTCCTGCAGTCGTTTGGGCTTTGGAATTTTTTGTTCAGGAGGATGGCAATGGAAGATGTAGTCGTCACCTTCACTAGGCGGACACGCCCATATATGGGCCCACACATAACCAAGCTGCTTGACATACTCCAGGTAGCCAATGAGAATCTCATGATACACAGCCGTTCGGAGTTGTCGGGGCTGGAAGAAGTGTACACTGTCCAGATAGGAAATGTAGACTCGCCTGCAGGAAAATTACACCATGATTACCAAATCTTCACACGACTCCAATAACAATGATTGCAATCGATACAACATCATTAATTACAATTAACTCCCGTCGTATTTGTTTCAATGGTTTCAGTTACATAAATTAAAATTGACTTGGTAGTATTTTTACAATGGTTTCAGTTATATAAATAACAATAGACTCCTGTACCATTTTTTACAATGGTCTCCATAATCATTTTACCAAGTTCTTTATTAATTTATTTTTATTTATGGACAGGTTGGTTTTGGAAACTGTGACCTTACCGTGTGTTGGGCATTGCACACTCGGATCCATATTCTTGAACATGCATTCCAAAGAAACAGACATCTGTGCCGTCAATTTCTTCAAATGCAAACATTGCTTTGGCTCGGTATGGAAAGCTTTCCTGCATCTCATTATTGTCAACAAACCTGCCAAATTGTAATCAAAAATAAGTTTTGGCTTATCAACAGTAAGATTATATTTAATTTCCTGTTCAAATCATTTTCACTTAGATCTTGGCACTCTTTGTTCAACATATCTTATATATTTTCTAGGAGACCTATACCTCATAAATTTGTTAAAAAAGATAAAAAGAGTCATGGCAATTATCATAAAAAATATTTGTTCCACCATTTTACAGGAAAATGAAACCTAGGTCCATTAACATTAAGGCAGATTATTGCTGTACAGATTATTGATTATTGCTGTACAGTTTATTGCTGTACAGATTATTGCTGTACTATGCAATGTCAGAGAATCTTGCAAAATTCAGAAAATGTTGTAGCATTGGAGTTTTATCTATTATCAAAATGAACATGGCATAAATGAATTGATAACTCAATAAAGTCAAATTATTTCACTATGAAGTTTATTCAAGGGAGGTAACTCTTTGCCTTCATCAATAACCATCAGTAAGTGTGCCTACCTTGTCTTCATGCCCGACTTCACCTCCACTATTTTGTCATTACTTGAAAGCACCTTGATGGTAACGTCTCCAGCGCCGGCGTCTTTCTTCTTTAGAAAGTTGTTCACTCGGTTTTCCAAGTACGTCCCCAGTTTGGTGTTTGGAATTCCTGAAAAAGCTAAATCTGTTGTCCAGCTCATGAGAATGGTGCTTTCATCAATGGTTAGAGAAACAATGACATATCAATCATTGTAACTCCTATACATTACAACCTATCAATCATTGTTACCCTTATACATTACAACCTGTAAATCATTGTTACTCTTATACATTACAACCTGTAAATCATTGTTACTCTTATACATTACAACCTGTAAATCAGTGTTACTCTTATACATTACAACCTGTAAATCATTGTTACTCTTATACATTACAACCTGTAAATCATTGTTACTCTTATACATTACAACCTATCAATCATTGTTACCCTTATACATTACAACCTATCAATCATTGTTACTCTTATACATTACAACCTATCAATCATTGTTACTCTTATACATAACAAACTATCAATCATTGTTACTCTTATACATAACAAACTATCAATCATTGTTACTCTTATACATAACAACCTATCAATCATTGTTACTCTTATACATAATGCCATGAATTTCAATTTCCTCTAATTTATTAATGCATTTATATTTTCCCTTTAACATAATTAATTGATTACCTTCTGCAAGTGTTACCCACACCAGTAAGTCATCGCCTTGTTTCAGCCCTAAGTACAGCTTATACAACATCACCCTTCTATAATTAGATGTCAGCTGATTCATCAACTAGGCCTAAATTAACAGCACTCCATTGTTTATGTGCATATATGAAAAATATTTCTCATTCAATTCTCAACTGATAAAATCTTGAAGAGCACCTTAACATTCAGCCACGCCAAATGATACTTACTCTTTGCACTATATTTGTTTTCTTTTCTCTTCATTCCTTTGGCTTTCAGACAATTTTCACAAGTAAAACTGCAAAGAAATTTGACAACAAATGAGACCAATATTTGGTTCTGTTTTAATATCAACTTTTACATGCAGTGACCAATGTGTTCTCTGGAAATTTAAATAACCTTGAAAAGTTTATCTAGTTTTAATATATACTTAATGATTACCGATCTTCGTGATGTTTTTTATTACTATGTAGGACAAAGAAGCAACACAAACAAGACCGTTGGTTCCTGAACTTACCCATTTGGCCAGATAGCCTCAAAATGCAGAACACAAATTGTGTGGAGTTTTCTGCCACACTCATCACATTCTGTAAACCTGAAATGTACAAACAGTCTCACATTAGTAAGTAGTTAAGTATCAGGGAATTAATCATTGTATCAGGAAGGAGTCAGGAACATCCAACTGCCACATGTCTACATCTATTAATCCTGCAAGTGGTGGTAACAAACTCGTCCAGCATGGTATTGTGTCAGGGTTCTCCCCAGGCCATTTAGCTGATACGGCTCCGTATCAGCTTCAGTTTGAAATCCCCCCTGCCGTACCAGCTTAATTGACCCGTATCACCTTAAACTGTGAACCGTATCACCTTGTTATTTGTACTGAACAGAAGGTGGTCTTTTTACACAAGAAATTGACACTGATTAAATCACACGGCTGAAGTCCATCAATGACCCCACTGGTCAGATGCACGATAAGCGTATAGCCATAGGGGGCCTGTAATTAGTGGGGAGGGGGACCGGACGACAAGCCCACAGGTGTCCGGCAAGCTAGCTCACTGGAGCCTAAAGCAATTACCACCGGATCCTTTTAGCATGGTCAATAGGTGATTAATTGAGGTACCTACTGTTGGATTAACAAAACAAACACTTATTACATCTATTATAAATTAATTTACTCACATATGATTGCATTTGACAACGCTGAAATAGCGTGTGTATTCAGTTAGTGATGGTCGCCATCTTGGATTGTGTAAAGTACAAACCGGAAAGGGGAATGAAATTCCGGATTTGTCGTTTTTAATGAAGAAGAGCTCAAATAAAAATGCTGTTTTAATCTTTGATCACATTTACTGACAGCAGTATTTAATATAGTTTTAGAGGAAATAAAAACACTGTACATTTTATTAAAACATTTTCTCTTACAACAATAAGGACTATGATATAAACTTGTTCATGTAAGTGTTTCCCCCTATAGCTTTTAAATATTTCTTCTTTAAATTATTTTTAATGGGGATTAAGTAAGGGATACAAATGTAAAGATAAGAGACAAATGTCACAAATGTCATATCTATTATTCAATGTACAAAACTCATCCACCTTTCCATAAATTGTATTTTTTTTTCAGAATATATTGCTGAAAATTCAGACATAAGAAACACTTATTTATTTCCTTGGTTTTAATGTTCACCAAAAGAAGTTTGGTAAATAAAAGTAACTTTTTAAACATTATATTACACCCCCCACCCCCCTTAGGTTTGATAAGGTATTATAAGGTATTCTATTAGCGTGTCCGTCTTGAATGTTCGTTGCAAATGAAACATATCAGCTTAAAAAAATTCTGGGGAGAACCCTGTGTGTTATCAGTTAGATACACATTATTTTGCTGCTGAAAGTAGAAAATGAACAGTGCAGATGAGTACTGATTTCTGAACTATATGACCTATATCATTGGCACAGAAACATCTGAACTATATGACCTATATCATCGGCTTAGAAACAGAGGTTTTCAATCATTCAAAACGATGAAATATTTCTCACTACAAATTTTCAGTAGTTGTTTCCAGACATGGTACTTATATCCATAAAATACTAAAACACGTAACAACTGAAAAAGTAAATATTCCTACTGATGTTTAACCTAACTTTTATCCCTATAATGGTTTTGATTATCTATTGCAAGTTTTTAAGATATTTTTTGTTTAATGTTAATAATATCACATGTATACACATAACTGCAGCTGCTTTACTGACAATTAACACTACTTTGAATAAATAGTATATATCTCCCAAGATATACATTTAATAACTATAGAGCATTTTTCAAAGTTAATTGTTTTAATAGTAGATTAAGTTCAACATTCCTTTATTCTGATGACAATTAATATTTGTCTTCAAAATCTATTTTTACATAATTATTTGCAAAGTCTATGTTTAATAAGCAACACGTTTTAGCTACACTTGTGTGTAACTTACGGTTCATAATCAAGCTGGTCATTCTTCATCCTCACAAATTGGTCCTTCCTGATTTTGCTGCAATGATTCATTGTAAATCTTGATAAGGTATTAAAGCTGAAATAATGGAGATGGGGAACGAATCAGATTTCTTTTCAAAATAACAATACAGAACACATCAAATTACAAATATTATCACAAAATATCTTTAAAGAAAGTACATTTGATATAAGGGCTAACATTTACATTAGCATTATTATTATATTTACATTTGCTCTGCATCCTTCCATTGCAGTGCATTGAGAAGGCAAATGTTGTAATGAGACTATTCTCTATTGTGACATCATCAATTTCACTGTTGTCAAGACTTAATTTGCTGTTAAAAGATCTGTTCGAAATAACTAAATAAAGTGTAAATACTTTAATCAAAATGTAAATATGGCTTTATGTGTGTTATGGGACCATAACAACATTTGCTAAAATATTCATTGCTTAAATCAACTGAAAGGTTTAGGAAACCAGAATGAAAGTTAACTTTATATTTTAATGAAAAATTTCAACATGTCATCATCTACTTACGTTGCAGATTGGGTGGGGTCATCCGATAGTTCTACTTCTTCTCCAGGGATTTCTTGGAAGCATTTTTCACAGTAAATATATCTGTCGGAAACAAGGTCAGTAGTTTTTCTTTGGCTTTGACTTGAATTGTGCCAATAGAATGGACACAAACACAAAATGGGCCACACGGAAAATATACAACATCAACGCCAGCGGAGTACAGCACAGCACGGACAAGCAGTGAATAAAGGAGGAAAGAAAGAAACAAAAGGTGCATAAGCAAAATGGTATTAGCAAAATTAAAATGAAGACTGTTTTATCAAAAAGATGCAGGATTTTTTTTTATTTCAATTAAGGCCAAACTAAAGATTGTTGCATTTTCAATTTTTTTTTTTTCTCTCTATTGTTTTTGTTTTGTTGCCGAATTATTCTTTACAATTCAGAAGAAATGTGAAATAATTCACCAACGATGCCAACGTGTAAAAAGAGAGATGCATTTCAATAAAACAGCCATTTTATAGCAAATGGTGAGTGAAGCTAATAAATGATTAATGAAAAGCGTGTAAAAGCATGATCTAGCAAAGCTATTTACAGAACAACACAGAAGATATAGTAAGTAAACAACATCACAGACAGCGTCTCTCACTGAACAATAAACACTACAAACCATACTACCATGTCTAGGTTAGAGGATTCAACAAAGGATATATATCTATTCTAGATTTCTTGAAAATGACAGAAAAGTTTGGAAACAGTTGATTATAAGGTTGCATGTACCAATTACAAATTTTAACGAGAATGAAGAATCTCTTTCTCCCCATGTTCATAAAATAACCTATTTTTTAACAAACTGTAGGAATCCTATGTGAATGATCAGACAATTTGGAAGGTTTCAAACAATGAGAACTTTCAGCCAGCAAAAAAGTGAATTATTCAATACAAAGACAAAGTTTGAACAATTCACATATCAAAACGTGTTTTTTTAAATAAGACACCGACGCTTGAAAATTGTTTCTATTTTTACATCTGAATCAAAGCCAAGCTAATATGTCATTTTCCCCCCAGCATTGCCGACATTCTTGTGATACATACTTTTTCAATTACACAACACAAAAAAAAGAGGCTTGTACATACATAAATAAAACAAGCAGAAAAGTATTCACACTTCATATAGATATACATAAACTCAGGTAAACCCGATACAGACATTGTTATAGTGATTCAATCACAATGACCAAATAAAATCTAATTAGCATTCAACATTTTCAGACATTTTTTTGACAGTAAGAAGCATTTTTTTCTCTCAAAAACAGTTCACAAATTTATATGAGCTACTGAAAGAAATTCAAAATTCAAATATATCATAAATCTAGTATTTGGATAGATTGACGTTAAAATGTTACCTGTTTTGAAAGCTGTAGTAGATGGCGTCCCTGGATATGGTACAGAGTTGTTTGCCGTAACAACAGAGGACCTGAGGACTGAACACATGCTTCCTGCCACAGCAATATCCCAGGGACTGCATAATGGCATCAATTTCCCCCTCAAACACTTCAGACAGCTGAATTGGAAAAGAAAACATTTGTTCACTGTTTTTCAGTACTTCATAAATTATAATCTCATTTTATAGTAAAAAGAAATTCTGCCAATGACAACAACAAACAATCCCCATTTTTTTCCCCTTTTTGTTCTCAGATTTCTGGCTCAAGAGTTCTTAAAGGATTTTACATAAATAATAACTGTCAGCATTCTAATGTGGTCAGACATCAAGTGAAAACTTGTCATTACAAATCTCACAGTAACCCATCTCCTATACATAAAATACTTTATCCAATCACATTTTGTTACGATATCAATAACTCGGACAAGACATGGTTCCATAGTTAAAATTAAAGTTTCATGAGGCTTTCTTGGTTTTGCTTTTATTTACTAATGTAACTTTCTTGAGATAATTCAGAACATTACTGTGTAGAAGTGGGTGTAAAAATACAGGCTGCTAAAGATATACCGTTGTTTGGAAGACGATGCAATACTGCGAGCTTTGGTTTGTTTTAATACATCAAGCTTTTGTTGCACTACTTACAAAACAACACAAATATACAGTATATCTGATGGATTTTAGATTGGATAAATCACACAGATAAATGTAACTGAATACATATTGATGCGAGGTATTACCTTTGTTGCGAATCTGTAGACTTTGGAAGTCTTCCTGTTGTACAACCATGCATTGTCAAACATGAGCCAGACATCATCCACATACTGCCAGGGGTCAGTGTACTGTCCAGTGTCCAACTTCCGTTTGATTGAGGACAGGTCCATCGGTCGCTTCACAATATCAAAATAGTCCTACAAAAATCACGATTATTGATATTGATTTCTCAAACAAAATAACAACAAGAATAACTAAATATAAAGTATGGAAAACATTGTCTGGAAATTTATTGAAAATCAGCTTTTCAAAATAGCTAAACTCACAAATAGGTGTTCAAAGTTTTGTACAAATATATGAAAACTAGAAAATGTCTGTAAGACATAAATGCCCCGCTGCCATGTGCAATTAGTTTCAGTGTTCTATAAAAAGTTACAACCACTTTGATCTTGATACCCTGAAACATGCACACACACACAAGATACTACACTTAAAGTTGATAAGTTGATTTTAATATTCATATGTTTTATTCTGTTTATTATTACCATCCTGAAACACAAGGATGTCAGAGGTATACCCATATTGACCTTTATATAAAGTTTGACCAAAATCCGAGAAAGAATGAAGTTGCCAAGTGTTTAAAATGAATCAGTTGATGATTTTCTATTTATAGCAACAGTGACCTTGGCCTTTACCTTGGAACCCTGAAACACAACAATGTCCGAAGTATACTCATACTTGACCTTTGCATAAAGTTTGACCAAAATCTGTCAGAGAATGAAGTTGCGAAGTGTTTACATTGAATCGGGACGGGACGGACATGGGCAACACTATATGCCCCCCCATTTTATGGCAGGACATTAAAATACAGAGCTGTTGCCAAGAATGCAACAATGGACTAGCTGACACAATCCCAAATATAAACAATGGACTAGCTGACACAATCCCAAATATAAACAATGGACTAGCTGACACAATCCCAAATCAAATATCCCCAGAAAAAGAAGTAGTATGTATGCAACTATCTCCCTTTTAAATTTCTATGCAAAACTTACTGGAATCTGTAGTAAAATAGGATCTACTGGTTGTCTGAAGGGCATGGACTCTGGATCTTGGCGGTATAGTTTCTCAAGTGTTGGCATGAGAGCTTGTCTTAGCTCATCTGGTTTGAATGCTACAACAAAAGTATTTGTATTCAAAATGTTGTTAATGACTGAAAATGTAATATCTAAGTAACATTCAATAGTTATCTCCCTTGACATGTGTTACACTGCATCTATTGTGTACAATCTGCAACAATTTATTAAATAACCGGGTAGAGCCAAATCATTGATGATTAATAATATACACACTTACTTGATTTATCTCTATTTTTAAATGTAGGAGATATTTGTAACATTAAACATCTTCATTAATATTATGCATTAAATGATAAAATTAAGATTCTGCATGGTTCTAAGACAAGCCATTCAGAGTGATATGTCTGGCATATGCCCTGCTTTGACCATCAATACACATTTTAGAGAAACTAACTTAAACACAAAAACTTAACGTTGATGGAGATGCTGACAAAGTCAATGGACCATGAAAGGTGGCCGCATCCAGCATGTGATGCATGGGTTGGGATGTACTACCTAAGATGATACATCTATGGTCCAAGTTTGGTTGGTCTAGTACTCATGCTTTCAGTGAAACTAATTTAAACGCAAAAACTTAATGTTGGCGCCACCATTGCCGGAAAAGAAACACCTAAGTCCCGGTTCAACTTTGTGGCGGCGAGACAAAAACGAACATCAGATGTCTGAAGATTTGAACATTTCAATGTGATGATTTAAAATATTTATAGCTGAAAGGAATTGAAGATGACCATATGTTTAAGATTAATTTCAGTGCAAATGAACAGTAAATTTTAAAGATAAGTGTAAGTTAACTGGGCCATTTTCATTAGGACGGGTAAACCTTATTGAATAAGGTTGGACCTAGTAATCTGATGCTGCGTTCAGGCGAGCCTTGACACAGCCTTGCAAGGCCTGCATAACCATTTGCATGTCCACCAGGATTTATACCCTAAAATGTTACATTTAATAGCGGACAAACAAGTTGTTCGGCACAAACGAACACACCCGACACCTACTTTTCTTTTGTTTTGGCTTGGCTGGCGTGGCGTTAGTGGAGGCTGCTGCTGCTGCTGCCCCTGTAGCACTATTGGAGACTATTAAAGCAGTTGATGTGCTTCCATTCATTGGACTAGGAGTGGGTTGTTCAAGGGACGTCTCGGTTTCCGTAGCACTTGAAGCAGATTTTGGAGTTTGGACTTCCAAGCTCATGCAACTTTTCTCACTGGCTGGTTCCTTCTTCACCTGAAAAGATTAACAGTTACAAGACCTTGTCTTAATCCAATGGAACCTTTACGTTTAATTCTAATGGTGGGTTTTTATCTAAGGCCAAATAAAATTAATTACTTGGTTCTCAGGCCAATTTTTTCCAAAATAGATGCGGGAGGGCGGTATTTTTTTTTTTCATTTTACATGGCAAAAACAAGACGAGGGAGATTTTTTTTTTTATTGTGTAGTTTGTAAAACGTTCATTGTGGGCATTACCTTGTCTTTTTATAGTTGTGTAGAGACCCGTCATAGAGCAAGCCTCGGAAAATCCCCCCCACGATGTTCCAGACGAGAATCACGAACCCCCCATTCCTTATTTGTACCGAAATGAGCGCCATTTGTACACAAGACTAATAAGGCCAAATAAAATTAATTACTTGGTTCTCAGGCCATTTTTTTTGAAAATAGATGCGGCAGGGCGGTATTTTTTTTTTCCATTTTACATGGCAAAAAGGAGACGAGGGCGATTTTTTTTTTATTGTGTAGTTTTTATAACGTTCATTGTGGACAATACCTTGTCTTTTTATAGTCGTGTAGAGACCCGTCATAGAGCAAGCCTATGAAAATCCCCCCACGATGTTCCAGACAAGAATCACATACCCCGCATTCCTTATTGGTACCGAAATGAGCGCCATTTGTACACAAGACTAATAAGTCATAATCATTTTAACGCTTGCCTGTATCTCAATCCTTCCCTTTATTCAAACGTTTTCAGGACTTGGGTGACTCACGAGTAAAAACGACATGCGGAACAATTTTTCAGATTTTTTTAACGATGGCGGCTGGCGCATTAACGATTTTTTTTTTTATTACTTTCCCGATAAAATCGGCAATACGCACGGTGCCATGAAATGCGCGCGGGCCTGAGAACCAAGTAATCATTTTTTTTGGCCTAAGACATTATCATTTTAATGCTTGCCTGTATCTCAATCCTAATCTTTATTCAAACGTTTCCGGGACTTGGGTGACTAACGAGTAAAAACGACATGCGGACCAATTTTCCGGTTGTTTTTTTAAGATGGTGGCTAGCGCATTCACGATTTTTTATTTATTACTTTCACGATAAAATTGGCAATGCACACGGTGCCATGAAATGCGCGCAGGCCTGAGAACCAAGTCATCAATTTGTTTTGGCCTAAGTTAGTTGAAATTTTATAAGACAACAAATTTTGCTTAAATTCAAAATCATTGTTTTAAAGATTTTGTTTTAAAGATTTTATTTCTTAAATCTTAAACTTGATTACCAAGCATGAAACATTTGCAAAACTGCCTCCCCACTTACCGGGATACTGTCTGTGTTCTCTTGTTTGATATCCTCATTGGATAGTTCCATCTTGATATCTGGTGATTTACCATCAGGTTTCACATCGACAGCAGCAGATGTTGTGGCCACAGATATCGTGGCTGTTGACATTGAGGCTGTAGACATGACTGTGATGGGAGAACTGACCATCACTGATGTGGAAATGGAGTTGTTGACCAGCAGATTTCCTGTAGTACACGGAGCGGACAGCACCTCGGACAACGTCTGGGGTTGAGTGTTGTGTATGTCTAACGGCTCGATCTTAATTTTTACATCAGGCATGGGCTGCTGTTGACTAACGGTAATCTAAATGAAAAGAATTATGTGTACATTGCAGCCTCATCGAGGAACTTATGTATCAGTTAAGTAGATGTCGAACCGAACAGCAGACTTGTAGACACCATGAAAAACACTGCAGGTTTATGGGAAACATTTACTTCACAGACCAAGATGTCTATGAAGTTATTTCCTTTGATGGGCATGGTTCATTATTTTCTCCCCCTTTATTTTTACACATAGTTTCTTCATTTCACAACATCAGGCACTAAATATGTAAGTTTACTCTTCCGTCAAAGTCTATTCTTTGCAAATGGTAGTAAATCTACATAAGATAGTTTCAATGTATACAGTATTTTTTTCAGTACAATAAACATACATGCGATTGGAGCAAAACAATACTATTGATTGTTCCTTACAATGAAATGTGGAGTAAATCCATGAAACAGAAAGTACATTTGAGGAGAGTTCCCACTAAATAAGGAAGGACAGAAAAAAGGAATCCTTGAAGTGGTTCCCAACGAGGCCAGATGAACGTACCTGCTTGCCAGGCGCAGTGATGGTAGATGACTGTGTCATTTGAACGGCTGTTGTTTGAATCATGTTTTGGTTTGGCGGTTGATTCTGTTGTTGAGAGTGTGATGATGGACTATTCAGCAGACTGAGTGTCTGCTGGTCCATGGTTGTGGTGCTCAGCTGGCCCAGGCTTGTGGTTGTTTGTTGGTTCTGGGACACTGGAGGTGACTGCGATACCTGGGATACCGATATTGGCGACTGCTGGAATGATACAAAATAGCATTACCAATTGTCATAGATGGAGCCAGTATTAGTGATATGGGTTCTTTCCTTATAACTAACAATGTTGTCCACTTATGAGTATTGTTCAGTTGTGGTTTCTAACTGTTACACCAGTTATAATGGCAACAAGTCTCGCCTCAGAGCTGCTTGTTGACTTGGGAGTATTATTCCCTTTAATAGAAAGAAGATGAAACAACAAAGTGATTTTTGCTGACATTGGTTAAGTGCAGGGTCACAATTATGAAAATGCATCACAACAATGATTTACATGGAAAAGACGTGTAGCAGGTTATTGAAAACAAATATTACCAAGTAGTGATAATGGCAATAAAATAAGATTCGACCTGGTGGCACTATTTACCACAATGTTTTGAGCAGCAATCTTTTATGACATTTTCACCAATGTTGAAAAGCTAAAAATAGTTCTAAATTTCAACACACTCTTCAGAACAAAGTGTTTTATACTGAAATGAAAATTTAAAATAGGTGACATTTATCAACAGTTTACCTGTGGCAGCTGTGAGAAGTGACTTTGTTGCTGTGATTGGGGGAGGGAGGTGGGCTGCTGCAGCTGAGTCTGGGGTTGACCTGCCATGTGTGTGGAGGGCATACGAGTCTTCAGTGCCTCCAGGCTCTGTGCTTCTCTCTGCAGCTGGGAGACTAGATTGAGTTGTGGATTCTGGGAGTTTGGAGGTCCAAGCTGCAGGTAGAACACAGAAATTATATCTTAATGTACATTTGTTGTTTACATATCTTCATTTAAAAGTCAGTCCAAACAATTTAAAAAAGAATGAACTGTTTAGAACAGCATCATTTACAATAACAAGCACCGATAATCACAGAAACTTACTTGGCCTTGTGGTCTGGTTAAGTGCATGGGCATCCTCGGTCCTCCTGCTTGCATTGGGGTTGCAGAAGACAGGTTGAACATATCCGCTGTGAACGGTGGACCACCTCCCAGAGGGCCATCTGCAAATAATTAAGTGTATTAAACATGCATGAAAAATGTTTGAAGTTGTACGAAGTACTTCTACATTTTACATGATTTTCACTCTCAGGACAAATGCACAACGCATCACACATAACAAACAACTGAATGTGTAACAGAATCAGATTAGATAATATGTCAATCATGGATGAGTATAGGATTGTAAAGGTATTTACTTTCTGTGGCCCTCAGTTGTGGCTGTGGTTGGCCACCACCACCAGTTTTACTGATTCTCTGCATTCTCTTCTCCTCCAATTCCTTCTGAATTTTGTAAATCTTCTCTGCCAACAGGTGGTAATATTCCTCCTGTACATAGAAAGTTTAAGTATTTTTTATCAAACTATCTTTAACTTAACTGTAACTAATCAAAGAAAACAGTATGATAAACTAGTCATCTGGTCTCATCCACAATGTGGTACACACTTGAGCCTTCTATTGTTACGACATATTCCTGGGGTGCAGAGAACATTTGTCAGTGTAACCTCTGGTGTAGCGAGGATGATCCTATTGTTACGACATATTCCTGGGGTGCAGAGAACATTTGTCAGTGTAACCTCTGGTGTAGCGAGGATGATCCTATTGTTACGACATATTCCTGGGGTGCAGAGAACATTTGTCAGTGTAACCTCTGGTGTAGCGAGGATGATCCTATTGTTACGACATATTCCTGGGGTGCAGAGAACATTTGTCAGTGTAACCTCTGGTGTAGCGAGGATGATCCTATTGTTACGACATATTCCTGGGGTGCAGAGAACATTTGTCAGTGTAACCTCTGGTGTAGCGAGGATGATCCTATTGTTACGACATATTCCTGGGGTGCAGAGAACATTTGTCAGTGTAACCTCTGGTGTAGCGAGGATGATCCTATTGTTACGACATATTCCTGGGGTGCAGAGAACATTTGTCAGTGTAACCTCTGGTGTAGCGAGGATGATCCTAGGCATGTTTTATCAAAATCTGTCAATTCTTTCATGAGATATCATCCAATCACTATCAATTTGAATCAGATTGCAGCAGGCTAAGTGAATATTTGTGAATTTCCATTTACATCAAACTTCAACATGGAACTTTGGGTTTTGTAAACCAAGCAAATAATTAATTTCATGGATCAATTTTTTTATCCAGAAACAAATGATATCCAATCGGATAACAGTGGCCTCATTACATATTTGAGAACTTGGCGTAGCTTAAACATGAAGTATACATTATGAACTTAGCACTTTTCATTGAAATCTGACATTTTATTTTAAATTTATATTAAGTTTGTCTAAACTTCCAACTTGAGCAAGTTATTAAACTTGAGCTACTTGCTGTACCAATTTGATTTTTAATTTCCAAATTTTCATTTCCAAAAGGTCATCTTGACAACAAAGATCACATCAGTCTTCATGCCCTGGAAATTGTCCATCCTAAATGCACAAATGAATTCAGAATAAAACTGAAAACATCAGCTGTTGAATGTATATCCGTACCTCTAGTATTTACCTAACTGCTGATAGTGCTACACATAGTCCTACTTACCCTGCTGTTCACCAAGTTTTAGTACCTCTAGTATTTACCTAACTGCTGATAGTGCTACACATACTCCTACTTACCCTGCACCGTACCTCTAGTATTTACCTAACTGCTGATAGTGCTACACATATTCTGACTTACCCTGCTGTTCACCAAGTCTTTTAGTACCTCTAGTATTTACCTAACTGCTGATAGTGCTACACATATTCTGACTTACCCTGCTGTTCACCAAGTCTTAGTACCTCTAGTATTTACCTAGTACCTCTAGTATTTACCTAACTGCTGATAGTGCTACACATACTCCTACTTACCCTGCTGTTGGCAGTCTCATACATATCTCCTTCCACCTTCCTTGCATAAGCTACAAGATTGTTCATTCTCCTGTCTTTAAGCGCAGCAGGGTCAGGTGTTGGGAATATCGCCTGGACACTGAAATACATAACAACATGTCACTAGTCAAAATCTACCTCACACTTAGCAGTGCAGTAATGAATATTCCTAATGATATAAGAGAGTGAACCGAAGGCTGTTCTCTCCTCCTTTAAAGAATGTTTTTGCTGTGTTTTTTTCTTATATCTTATTAAAACAAGATGCCAATCAAACAATCAATGAATTATAACACTGCTATTTAATGATTATTGGTAATATGTACAGCTAGTATAAGATAATAAGATACAACAGTGATAACGATTACAAACTGCATGGTGACCCTCAATGCTGGCCAATCAATCTCCTCACTTTTTATTCATATCTAGGCCATTTTTTACTTTCACCAAAGTCATGCAAGAGTGAAGCACGCTCCTAAAGATACTTAAGCAGCAAATACTTTTTTCAATTAGTTTGTTCCCAGTGGTCAGATTGAGAAGGTGGAACACTGTGAAATATACAGGGCTGTTAGAAGCTTTTTGTCTCCGCTCAGTTGGTTATACATGTGCAGCAATCCAAACAACCAGGGCTCACCCTGTGGTAGCCAAATGATGTAACTCAGTAATTGTCTTTTTTCTTCATCAGCTTTGAAATAAACTGACAGGATAAAACCATTACTTGCATATTTGATGATCTTATACATCAAAAATATTTTGTTTACTTGTAAAAATCAGAAACATACAGAATTTGCGAAATTGGACATGTTTGTGGAAAGAATCAGCAATTTTGAGGCTTGGCTACAATATCAACTATTTCAGAGTGAGCCCTGTATATTTATCTTCTAATTACCTTAATCCAAACTCCACACACAGGCCACTCAACCTTCAATAACGAAACATTTTGACTTCATTGAAAACTGTACATGTGCAAAATTTCACAAATTTTACAGGTTACTTTTGAGCTTAATGTCTGATTTCAATCAATAATTTTTCTCCCAGAAAATCAAGAAAGTAAATGTGAATTCATTGACAATTAAAATACTGCTTTAAAAACCTCTTTCCAAATGCAACTATCGGGAAAAGACCAAAAATAAAAACAATTTGTGTGGCTACAAGGATGCAAATGTTTATCATTGGTCAAGATTTCCTGACAACAATTGTCAAATCATATACAGGATATCGCATGTAAGCCCTATTTAGGATGCACACTACCATTTCCTTGATACCAAGTCACAGAAAAGCTTGTAGCAAGTTTTTTTCTCGATTGTTTTTGGATCTAATATAATATCCTGCTCCTTACTTTAAAATGATTTGTTGATATTGCACCCTATTTTTTAATCACAGCTATCAAAAAGACAACTGTACAGAAGCAGGGCATAGACATTTAATCCTTCCAAAATATTTTTTTGTCATTGATGCGAACAGAACTTTCATATAAGAACAAAATTATTAATCAAATATCAAGAGCAATGCAGCAAACAATGACCTAATTAACCATGAGGGTCACCATGCAAATTTTAAAATGTGATCACAAGTGCCTTATCTAAATCAATCAAAGTCAACGCAATGAACAGCTCCATGAGTATAACCAACCAGTGACCAACCTAAAAGCTAAAAACATGTTCTCGTGTACAGATATCAGTTTTTTACATTGAAAGAGAAGTTTTTATCGTATCATTCAAACTTTCATAAAATTGGTATAAATATATTGATGTAGAGCATGATGATTTCAAGGTTCATGGTAAGGAGCTGAACCCTTTTAATTGTGAAGTTGTATTTATTGTTGTACTACTTCCTGCGATGGAAAAGCTTTTCAAATTGGTTTAATACTGGTTTGCATAAATTTCTTTTTTATTAAGTTATAATACATTCTTTATCAAATTTTAAATATTCCATACAGTTGATAACACAACTTTATCTAGTGTTTAAAATTCCTAAATATGAACCTTTATGGTCTTTTTCCAATGAAAACAACAGATTATTTTACAAAATTAAGAAATGGACTATACTTAATCATAGAAATTCATCAATATAGAATTCAGTCATTTTCATAAAATTCAAATTTTAAAAAACCATTTCCAGGTAAAATATTTTCATACAAACAGGATTCACAAAGGTCCACATGTTAAGTATGTATGAGAGTATTCACTTTTTAAGATGAAGATATATGAAGAGTAGTTATGTGGGTATGCCGTGTTAACTTACAGTTTGTGGACTAGGTGGTTTCTCAGGTCCTGTGTGACACTCTGATGCCACTCCTTAGAGCCTCGATTGGTCTGTGCCATGTTCTGTGCGGGATTATTAGGGTTCTGTGCCAGCGTGTCAGGGGATCCCAAACCACTGACCAACCCTCCAATACCTGGAGGCAGCCCACCCAAAAGCTGAGACACTTGATTTGATTGGTTTGAATTTATTCCTCCTGTTGATGTTCAATACAATCTATTATTTCTACCACTTACGTATATTAGTTACTTCACTCCACTATATGAATTATGCATCTCAAGAAAATTTACTTTAAGCTATTAACATGGTGGTCAAAAGTTGCGCAAAGTTCATTAAAAGTTGAAACAAGAGCAAATGCATACATCAAAACTACATCATGGATTATCCATTTTGAATGAAACAACAAACCTGGAACTCCCGGAGCTCCTTGCGTTCGTACAGGACTTTGTTGAGATGGAGGAGACAGCCCTAAAGCAGCATAAGCCCTCTTCATCTGAAGATCAGTAACGCCTGGTGGTCCCTGACCAGTCAGGGGGTTAGCTGGGGCGCTGGTCACTGGAGTTTGTGGAAGGAGCACTACTTCCAATTAGTTTCATTACACAATTGATTCAGACAAATAACAATATTTTAAGATAAAACCAAAGACTTGAATTAAAGCAAGAAAATAAATATAATGTTCAGTTTTCAAAATAAAATCATTGATTATACTTTACTGAGTCTGTTATAAATTGAATATTTTATCTGGACTCAAAATTTGTTGACAGACAAGACCGAAATTAAGTAATACCTGCTGCTGCTGGATGGCGCTGCTTGTCCGATGCATGCTTTAACGGCAAACACACAGGACAATCACTCCGCGTACAGTTCTTCCAGTGGGTGATAATTTGTCTGGACGATGCACAATGAGCAACTGGAAAGAAAGGGTCACTTATTATCAGAGAACATGTAACTGTAATCAGGATTTTTTCCCTACATTTCTGTATTTTATTTTTCATTCAAAGTTCAGAAGCATGTACTTTCTTCTACAAAATTTGGGATTGTTTTATTATTAACATATTTGAAAGTATCAAGCAATCTGACAATTTACCAGAGGCTTTTAACAAGTATGTTTATCAGAAAACTGCAAATTGTTGTACCTGGTATTATTTTATACAGATGTAGAATACTTTCCTATCTTAATAATTACCTTGACAAGATTTTCCAGCATTACAATGGGTCATGTGATTCAGAACATTTTTCATGGTACGACAATGAGGAAGAGAGCAGACTTCTGTTTGATTGTTTGTTGTTTCCCTTCTCTGGCACTTGTGTGCATGCAGCAGAAGCACCAACTGTTGCTGTATGAGCTTGCGCTTCTCTGGGTCAGCTGTCGGTGGTTGAGCTCCCCCAGGACCAGCGACTGCACCTGCAGATGCGGCTGAGGTTGTTGCAGTGTTGGGACCTATATTGGGCAGTACACCATGCTGCTGATTCTGAAAAAAAGGTGTATTTTTTTATAGTAGTTTATATTTGACATCCTACTTTTGCCAATATAGCTTGATGCAACCTCATTACTATCAGATATGTTCCCCGAACTCCAACCCAATGTATAAAAAGTTGGTAGTTTTGTAAACTTGTGAAATGTATACATTCAATTCTTCTCCAACCCATCTGTTGATTTTTTTTTAAAGCGATCGACTATTGTAGAGCATGCAAGATGTTGTACTTACTGTGTTCATTGCGTTTGTTGGCATACTAATAGAAGTTGTAGTCATGGTAGAAGACAGAGATTGATTATAGCTAGCAGTAGAAGATGGGTGTCCAGCTATATTGGAAGGGTTGGTGAAACTAAAGCCACCACCATGGGGCGGGGGACCATTGGGCTGAAAATAACAAAACAAGAATATATAATATTGTAAATTTAACAGCGTGATCACACTATTAACTTACAGATACAACACACAAGACATTTTCCATCAATATGCAGCGACAAACTCCCCACACCTATACTACTGAAGTCCCCAAACATGTTGTCGTCTTCATCATCATCATCCTAGTCGTCGTCATTGAGATAAACATGAATTTACAACCCTCACTAACTAGAATATGCTCCTCCACCCAGTATTTACCACTTTTCCAAGCTGCCAGACTTTAAATCAAGAGGTGTTTGATTTCAGGAGGTGACAAGATATCATATTCAGAGTAGAAGCATGCAGGAGAGTTTGAAAAATTATACCATCTCTATGCTTACACAGTTAACATTATTTTTTTACTAACCACAACTACAAATCTACTTGTCCTGCGTGCTGGATAGTCGCACTGTGCACACCTTGTAAATTTAAGTCAATGTTGGCAACACAGTGTGAAGTGAAAACACTGATTTTTGTTTTTTTACAAAAGTACAAAAGTTGTGTTTCCTGTTACCGACTTCATTAGTCGACTCATCGTCAGCGACCGATGAATCCGAACCAACACCTGATTTTCAACTTCCTATAAAGTCACTTAATTTACAACTGGTGTATGTTGCAGACAAATTTGTAGCCTGTAGGACGCATGATGGGGTACAGGCACTTAGTCATTTCTGTACTTGTTTTAGACGTTTTGGTACTGCCAACATCTTTAACTATTCAGTGATAATTTTGGCATTTGGACCAACTTCTTTGTTTGCTTACTGTGTCCTGTGTGTTGCTGATCTTTATTTTGAGATTTTTCAGCATTTTTCATCTTTACAAAAATGAACTGAAACATCCCATTCTTAGGTACACAAACATCTAGGATTCCACAAGACATTGTTGTGCACATTCCATTCGCTCACATTCAATGTTAGAGTACAAATGACCTAGAACGCATGCATTGAGAAAAATACATTTGTAGGAAATCTTGATTAGCTCATTTTGTTGCTTGCGTCTCAAAAATTTGTTCTTGGCCTTGCACTTCTTTCAAATATGAATTACTATCTATGTAGTTTTCAGTGATTTTCTTCAGTTAAAACAAGTACCTGTAACTTGTTTTAACGCGATTTGACCTATTATACTAACCTTTAGTGGTGTTCCGATTAATCAACAAAGTCGAGCATCAGTCAGTTAGGCTAACAAACTTAAACAGTAGAGCCTAACTGACTGATGCTCATCTTTGTAGATTAATCAGAGTCTAGTCGGAATTCTTATGTGTAGATAGCTTCTATGTAAAATTGTTGGCAGCATCACTGCATGACTTACTTTTAGCTCATGTCTGCTAGTTAGGACTATATATTAGATTCAGTGTTTGAAAAGAGGTATTTCTTATATTATAATTACATGGTATCACTTTCTGATTTACCTAAGTGACTTGCAACAACAGCATGAAGGATTTCACTATGTATATTATAAAATGATTATTAATCAATCATTGGTTGGTTAATGGTAACCAATGATCGATCACAAAATTTCAACCAATTCCCAACACTACTAACCTTCATCAACTGTGGAGTTTGTGCAGCATTTAAACCAGGAAGTCCTAAATTTTGGTGAGTCTGCATCTGTTGACCAGGCAAATTTCCAAGCATATTATTAGCTTGTGACATACTGGACATTGCCTGGCCCATGTTGTTTGTGTTCATGCTCATACTTCGATTTGGACCACTCAATGGTCCATTTTGCATCATCTGGTTATGTCCAATAGTTAGTCCAGAACCATGAGGAATCCCCTTCAAAACAGCATTTGGTACACTGCTTGCCATAGCAACAGTACTATTTGAAATATTGTTCGCCATTGTAAAAGTAGCACTACTTGACGGGAAGTTTCCATCCACCCCACTTTTACCAACAGATCCATGAGGGGGTGAGGATAAACTGTTTGAGAGCGGACTTTTCACATTATTTAGAGAATTTGCAATACTGCCAACATTAGGGCTCCTGTTTTGGGCATTCTGAAGAGAATTTACTATATTTAGAGGTGGAGTTGGATTGCTGGATAAAAGCTGTGAGAGCTGAACATGTCTTTGTGATGTTGTGTCTTGTCCGCTATGAGAATCGTTTGTCCCGTTATGAGGAGGCTCCCCCGTTCCCATCAATTCGTCGGGAAGATCGTTCATAATGTCCCACAAAAGTTCTGAATAAAATAAAAACAATTAAAATGTTATTCAATATACCAAATTAACCTCAATTTCAGAAGAAATGATAGGAAATCCAAATGTCTGATCGAGGCGCCGGAACGGTACCATTTTATCTTTTTTTCTGTGGCGAAAAGCGTCATCGCAGTTGCTATCAAAATTTGCATGCAACGGTATTATAAAACGGTTGGAGCAGTAAAAAAAGGAACACTATACTCTAAGTTTTGCAAATAGTTGCTTACCTCCTTGATCAGAACCCATGCTTTGCCGTGGCGATGATACTTTCTGTCGCTTGGCCGCTGGTGGGCCATCTGCAAGTTGGTCGGCCATGATTGCTTAGCTAAATAAAGCAAGGCCCTGACCTGGTGCAGACAACAATAATGTGCAATAACACCTACGATCCAGAGTCAGTCAGAATAAAATGAAGGTTCAAGAATACCGCACAAAATAAAATTTCGGCCATAACTGCATTACATCTCCGAATATTGTTATTTGGAAATCCCAATTTCGATTCGCACCGAGAGTTCATCACAAAGCCGATCACATTCCGAATATATTAGGCTCACATCTTGAACAAAATATATCGAAATGTCCAAAATCCGATCTCAAAATTTCCAACGATAAATTATGATGAAAATCATTTGGTCATAACCCAATGAATGGAAGTCTTCATCGAATTAAAGTCTTCAAAATAATCCAAATTTACTGATCTCAACAACCCAAGATGGCGGCTGTTGATGAAAAGTTTTACGCTTGTCACAGAAAACTCCGAACATATCCGAAGTAAAATTTCTAAACCCGAATGTACCACGTGACCCCAGAATCGCAACGCAATTGGTTACCTGTGACTCATCGACCCCGTGTCGGGTCATTAGCGGAGAACTACGGAAGTTAACGATATAAAATTATGGGATATACGGCCGACCCCGTCAAATTAGTTATTGGCTGGTTAAAAATATTATACATTACCTACAATTTTACAATAAAATAGAGAAAATAGGATCACCCAAAGACACCAAATCAATACGAATGGTCCATTATTACATATGCTATGTCTGCAAAGATGATTTTTGTCAAATTAAAGTAGATTTTATCAATGTAAACACGAAACATGGATGTTGCTGGAAACAGGAACGAAAATCATGGCCGTCGAAAAAAGTCAGATTGATTCAGTCTCATATCAGGCTATTGGAGCAAATCCAGACATCTGGATTATGTCAAGGTTGATATTTATCACTTATTCTACATAACCGCTAAGTTACTAAACACAGTTTGGTCTCAAACCCGAGGAACCAACATGTGACTTTTACCAAGAGAACCCCCCCCCGGCTCTACTCTTACGTTATATATAGGACATTCAGCATCCATTGACAGTTGGTGCTTCCACGAAACAGTTCGGGGCAGAAAAAGGATCACTTTTGATCCGATAAAATAATGTTATGGTTTGAAGACTTAAAAACCGTTATCTCTAAATTAACTGTTCAATTTATATAATAAATGTATTATATATATACCTATATAAGTAAATTATATAGTCTGAATTTTCTAACTAATAAGATCAATACAATATAATTATATATTGTCTATTGAAAGACATTTATGTCCGCTACCCACGCAAGTACATCGACTTTTATTTAATTGTTCCGAAAAGTTTTACAGAACGTTTGATATTTTCAATTTCTTTAATTGGTACGGAGGCTGGAACGATACTAGGTATAGGATAATGTATCCATATTGGACTTTTTATTAAGCAGATTTTTTATATCCTCTTTCTATTTCCTTCTTTCTCACTAAAAGTTAAAAGTTAAAATTGTCGGTCGAAAATAAAAGTTATTAGCATATTAAAATGTGACATAAACAGTCGTTTTGTGGTTCTTCTATAAACAAAAACAATTTAGGTAAGAATTAAACTTTGTTTTTACTTTGATCATGGAACAATATCAACTCAAGTTTCCATGGATACTATATATTAAAGCAAAAAGTCACGTGACAGGGTCCCCAATTGTACAGATACGAGAGTCTTCTTTATTGATGTGAACGGAAGCACATACCGCTGTTAACTTTTACAGAATGCATTATCATATTGATTTATTTGTTGAATGGGTTGGACAAAAAGAAAGGAAGGAAAAGGTAATTGATATCAGGACCTTGATTTAAGACGAACTTTTGTTCACATCGCAATGGAACAAGCAAAATCAGTGTAGACATTAAGGTTCTGACAATGATTCTTCTGAACACAAGACTGCCATTTTACCAAACGTCCCCATATCTGACTCTGTACAGCGTGATCTTTAGTAATGCTTTAACCAAAATGGGAATAATCCACAGAAAAATTACTATCCGATCCTGTATAGGAAGACCGGATCGTAACCCTTGTCCAGTGAAGATGGGCATATATATTGTCTATTGGGTCAGGGTGGGAACTCAGTCCTTCAAATCAACATAAAAGGTAAATTATCTCTATGTATTAAAACAAATGCATATTTAAAGAAGTTAAGCTAATAGTTGCCACTTCCTCCGTGAACTGTCGTTGCAAAACGGGATACAAAGTTATAAAATAACCGGTAGGTGGTATCAACAGGAAAAGAGAAGGAGAATAAAAGAAAAAAAACAACAAGTAACACCTGCAGACTGCTTTCACAACGGTTAACGTTGCCTTCTGATGCAGTTTAACTTCATAACTTCGGGCCGATAAATTATTGAGCTGTGAATGTCTCAGTAGGCCAGGAACCTCTGTGGCGATCTTTCATCCTGAAACTTAAAAGTCTGGTTTAAACTCTCACCAAGTGTGAACAAAGTCGGCCTAGAAGGTCTAAAGTAAATGCCTCAACCAATCAAAGGCGAAGTCGGCCATCTTGAATTCCGAAACTCTTTAAATGAGCCATAAAATACGTATTTAACATTTAGCATATCGACATTCACAAAGTATGAACAAAACAGAACTTGCCTGATAAACGTAATTGGCTAGGCCAATCAGATGCCAGGGCGGCCATTTCGGATGTCGGATTGGAAATGAGGAAAATAGCACGGCTACACATGTCCATTAGTACTAATCAACATTGATTCAGAGAAGGAGAGAAAGAAAAGGAAAGGAAATGAAGGGAGAGGAAAGAGGAAAGAAAAATGAAAGATAGGAGAGAGAAGAAAAGAATGAAAAAACAAGGTTTTTAAGCGGCTTTATAACAAATCGAGAACAATCCTTGACCATGCATTGCTTATCAAAATAGAACAGGAGGAGTAACCTTAAGTTAGACTTCGATCGAGATAAGCCGTTCACTCTAAAGCGCTTTATAATTGACAGTTATGATCATCAGCAAGTTCCCATATTTTTGATAACATTGATTATATGGTAATGGCGTCATAACAATCTAAAGTGACAGCATGCAATTACAAAAATATCAAGCTTATTAATTTAGTTATGCGTTTTTGTTTTAAAGGAACTTGTCAAAAAAGATGTTACTATAGACTAAAACACTACGTGTGAATTCAAAATAAGACAAACGCATTCTATTAAATATATATATATATACTTTTTATTTGTTTATTTTCAAAGTATTTTTTACATTACGATAACATACACATTACATTATACATAATAAATTACACTTTCACACATACTTTCATAGTAATCAATATTACTTTTTTTGTAAGTGGCACTTTATTTATTGTTATATAAGAAAGGAAGGAAAATCAGATAAGAGAAACAAGAAAACAAAGAAATAAGGACAGGTAAATGGACAGAAAAAAAGAAAGACAGAGAGTCAGACGGAAAGATAGACAGACAAGAGGAGAAGTGCCAGTATTAAACAAACCTATGTAAAGGATAGAAGTCTGGTAATATATAGGTGTCAGTAGCTAAGTAATTAGCTACTGATACCTATATTATTTTCCCAAATAATAGGGAAAAAATGTAATTATTTTAAGATCAAAACATGTAATCGGCAAATCGTAGGCTTAAGAAATATCAATAAGCCTTTTCCATTTTTTTTCACTCATTCTGGAAGTTTTTCGTCTTTACTATTTGCAATATATTTGTTAATATTGTAATGTTCTTTAATTGAACTTTTAATTCCTTGTATAGATAAAGGCACTTGAAGACATCTTGCCTTGTATATATACTGTTTAATAATAAAATAATACTATTGTCACCTTTATTAAGTCCATTATATTTATAAAAACCAAAAAAATGTTTGTTTATTAAAATCAAATCTTACTTTCTGTCTTTATTACTAGTAGTACAGTATATGTCTTACAGAACATTGTGATATTTTGACCTATTGTCAATATTGATTCCCCATCAGTGTACTCTTCCTTTTTGTTCTTTTTGTTCTTTTCTTTTTCCGATAATGATGTTGTATACACGTTCCAATCTAATACCCCAAACCTGTCCCCATTACGTCCTGTCCTGTAACTTACCTCCCTGTCCCTATTACCTCCTGTCCTATAACTTATCTTCCTGTCCCTATAACGTCCTGTCCTGTAACTTATCTCCCTGTCCCTATTACCTCCTGTCCTATAACTTATCTTTCTGTCCCTATTACGTCCTGTCCTATAACTTATCTTCCTGTCCCTATAACGTCCTGTCCTGTAACTTACCTCCCTGTCCCCATTACGTCCTGTCCTGTAACTTATCTCCCTGTCCCTATTGCGTCCTGTCCTGTAACTTATCTTCCTGTCCCCATTACGTCCTGTCCTGTAACTTATCTCCCTGTCCCTATTACGTCCTGTCCTGTAACTTATCTCCCTGTCCCTATTACGTCCTGTCCTGTAACTTATCTCCCTGTCCCTATTACGTCCTGTCCTGTAACTTATCTCCCTGTCCCTATTACGTCCTGTCCTGTAACTTATCTCCCTGTCCCTATTACGTCCTGTCCTGTAACTTATCTCCCTGTCCCTATTACGTCCTGTCCTGTAACTTATCTCCCTGTCCCTATTACGTCCTGTCCTGTAACTTATCTCCCTGTCCCTATTACGTCCTGTCCTGTAACTTATCTCCCTGTCCCTATTACGTCCTGTCCTGTAACTTATCTCCCTGTCCCTATTACGTCCTGTCCTGTAACTTATCTCCCTGTCCCTATTACGTCCTGTCCTGTAACTTATCTCCCTGTCCCTATTACGTCCTGTCCTGTAACTTATCTCCCTGTCCCTATTACGTCCTGTCCTGTAACTTATCTCCCTGTCCCTATTACGTCCTGTCCTGTAACTTATCTCCCTGTCCCTATTACGTCCTGTCCTGTAACTTATCTCCCTGTCCCTATTACGTCCTGTCCTGTAACTTATCTCCCTGTCCCTATTACGTCCTGTCCTGTAACTTATCTCCCTGTCCCTATTACGTCCTGTCCTGTAACTTATCTCCCTGTCCCTATTACGTCCTGTCCTGTAACTTATCTCCCTGTCCCTATTACGTCCTGTCCTGTAACTTATCTCCCTGTCCCTATTACGTCCTGTCCTGTAACTTATCTCCCTGTCCCTATTACGTCCTGTCCTGTAACTTATCTCCCTGTCCCTATTACGTCCTGTCCTGTAACTTATCTCCCTGTCCCTATTACGTCCTGTCCTGTAACTTATCTCCCTGTCCCTATTACGTCCTGTCCTGTAACTTATCTCCCTGTCCCTATTACGTCCTGTCCTGTAACTTATCTCCCTGTCCCTATTACGTCCTGTCCTGTAACTTATCTTCCTGTCCCTATTACGTCCTGTCCTGTAACTTATCTCCCTGTCCCTATTACGTCCTGTCCTGTAACTTATCTCCCTGTCCCTA